TTTATTGGCCATGACTGGACTTTGACCGTAGGATGGTAAAGTTGCTCAGCACAACTCTTCCTGTCAGGACAGTAAATGGACAGTAAATGCCATTTACCACATTTTTATGTGCGGATAAATACTCCCCCCTGAAGACCGCCCACCGGACGGGCAGGGCCAGGTTTGAGAAGAAATTTGGCGTGAAAAGAACACATTTTTCGACCAGCATGGATATCAGAAGACGAAACCCAAAAACCGTCAGCAGGCCCTTCCCCCCTCCAATCAACCAAATACTGTAAGGAACCACGAGAAAACCTGGAATCAATGACGGAGGAGACTTCGTACTCCTCCTGTCTAGAACTAAAAAAAGGAGGAGGAGGAACAATCGGACCTGTGTACCAATTGCAAACAAGCAGTTTGAGCCAGGACACATGAATAGTATTAGGTATACGTAAGGACGCTGGAAGGGCCAGAGAATAAGAAACAGGATTGATTCTCCTAACCACACGAAAAGGACCAAGGAACCAGTGGCGTCTCTAGGATTCATTTTTCGGGGGGGCACATGGAGGGCCAGGGACAAAAGTATGGGGGCACATTTAAACCCGTCCTAGCCGCAGTTTGACCCCGCCCCGGTCGCATGTTAAGCCCCGCCCCTGACACAATGTGTTTTGTTTTTTTAATAATCCCTAGTGGAGGATTCATTATTTTCCACCAGGGATTATTAAAAAACAAACACATTACCCAAGGACATTTTGCAGCACAGCTATCAATTACTGTCTGGGTATAATATCCCTGGACAGTCAGTGCTCTCTGTATAATACAGGGTTGTGTGTATAATAAATTGGGACACTCAGTGCTCTCTGTATAATACAGGTCTGTTTGTGTATAATATCCCAAGACAGAGAGCAGCCCTATACAGGGAGCACTGACTGTCCCGGGATATTATATACACATAGATCTGTATTACACAGATAGCTGAGCGTATACCCCATGTCCCAATCTCTAGACTACTAGTACCTGTCAACAGCAGCTCCCAGATGCGTGTAATAGGGCTAAAGTGTGCGGCAGCTCACACAAATGATTCAGCGATAAAGTGCACTCGCTGGCAGAGCCAAACTGGGAATCCCTGGGAATCCAAAGCAGCCCTGGAAAAAAAATGTATGCCATTCCCACAAGTCAATGGGAAATGCCAAATATATACTGCCCCCCATACACACATACTGCTCCCCCATACACACATACTGCCCCCGATACACACATACTGCTCCTCCATACACACATTCTGCCCCCCATAAACACACACTATATATATAGTACAGTAAGCACACAGGCTCACTGACATGCGCAAATAGGCTTACTGACAGACAAAACTCTCTGACTCACACACAAGCTTACTACAGACAAACTCACTTGTATAAACAGAAGGCTCACTACAAAGAAGTTCAGGGACAGACACAAGCTCACTAAAGACAAGCTCACTGACACACACAAGCAGTACCATTTTAACAGAGTTAAGGGCCCCTGGGCAAAGCAATGCACTGGGGCCCTTCCTACACAACAACTCACAGGAATTTTAATTATTGATAGACTGCAGAGTACATACACACACACAGACTGCTGAGTCCACACACACACACAGACTGCTGAGTCCACACACAGACACACACTGCTGAGTCCATACACACACACACACAGACTGCTGAGTCCATACACACACACACACAGACTGCTGAGTCCATACACACACAGAGACTGCTGGGTCCATACACACACACACACACACACACACACACACACAGACTGCTGAGTCCATACACACACAGACTGCTGAGTCCATATATACACACACACACACACAGACACACACATACACAGACTGCTGAGTCCATACACACACACAGACAGCTGAGTCCATACACAAATACAGACTGCTGAGTCCATACACACACAGACATAGACTGCTGAGTCTATACACACACACACACACTGCTGAGTTCACACACACACAGATGCAGACTGCTGAGTTCATACACACACAGAGACTGCTGAGTCCATACACACACACAGACTCTGCTGAAGCCTGCATAATACAGACTGCTGAGTTCATATAATACAATACAGACTGCTGAGTTCATACACATGCCATTGCATCGCTGAGTCTATGTATTAATACTGGCTGCATTCGCCGCAGTCTATGACACACACACAGACTGCCGAGTCCATGCACACACACACAGACTGCTGAGTCCATACACACAGACTGCTGAGTCCATACACACACACATACACACACAGACTGGTATGTCCGTACACACATATACACACACACACACACACACACAGACTGCTGAGTCCATGCACACACACACACAGTTGAGTCCATACACACTCACAGACTGCTGAGTAAATATACACACACACACACACACAGACTGCTGAGTCCATACACACACACACAGACTTCTGAGCAGTGGCGGATCCAGAGCCTGATCTTGGGAGGGGCACTTGTAGATTATTTAAAGAAATAATCCAGCCACAATAACCACTACAGCTCAGTGTAGTGGTTATGGTGTCAATAGTGCCAGGACCCCCTCCCAGAGTAAGTAGTCAAACCATTTAAGAACGGTTTGACAACTTACCTGAGGTCTGCTGGGAAATGGGGCTGTAGTAGGGTATAGGAGCAGTGGTGTGTGTGAGTGGTGCAATGTGTAAGGGGTGCAGTGTGTGTGTGTGTGTTTGAAGGATGTAGTGTGTGAGTGAGGGTGGCAGTGTATGTCAGGGATGCAGTGTATGCGTGGGACAGTTTGTGTGTGTAACAGTTGCAGTGTGTGTGTTAGTATTGCAGTGTATGTGTGATTGTGGGCAATGTGTGTGTATGGGGCGGCAGTGTATGGGGGCAGTGTGTGTGTATGGGTATAGTGTATGTGTGTAGAGTGTGTGTGTATGGTGGGCAGTGTGTGTGTATGGTGGGCAGTATGTGTGTATGGGGGGCAGTATGTGTGTATGGGGAGCAGTATGTGTATGGGGAGCAGTATGTGTATGGGGCAGTGTGTGTGTTTATGGGGGGCAGAATGTGTGTATGGAGGAGCAGTATGTGTGTATGGGGAGCAGTATGTGTATGGGGGGCAGTGTGTGTTTATGGGGCAGAATGTGTGTATGGAGGAGCAGTATGTGTGTATCGGGGGCAGTATGTGTGTATGGGGGAGCAGTATGTGTGTATGGGGGGCAGTATGTGTGTATGGGGGAGCAGTATGTGTGTATGGGGGGCAGTGTGTGTGTATGGGGAGCAGTATGTGTGTTTGCGGGGCAGTATGTGTGTATGGGGGCAGTGTGTGTGTATGGATGCAGTATGTGTGAATGGGGGGCAGTATGGGGGGCAGTGTGTGTGGATTTAACTATATGTCTGAAGTTACACAAAACACATTTTCTCTATATTACTGTTTCTAATTTCTATTTTCAAGCTCCTGGATACCTGCACCTTAGGGTGGTGTATTTTGTCTCTTATATAGGGTTAGGTGAAATCCTACATTTCCAGTTTGTCTTAAATTAAATTAAATGTCTTTAATCCCTCTCAATCTGTTGCTCTCCTTTGATAGCTTCAGAATTTCTATTTTGATTTATATGCATTGATTTATTTTTGGCCAAAATCAATTTTTGCACAAGTCTATATTTTAAGAAAGTATTTACTAGAGACATACAATGTGGCGACAGATAAAAACAATTTGGCCTATCTAGTCTGCCCAATTTTCTAAATACTTTCATTAGTCCCTGGCCTTATCTTACATCTAGCCTTATGTTTTTTTTTGCTAGTACGTTTTGCTAGACTGCTTAAAAAGACTGCTCAAAAATACTAGCTGAGGTCAGGGAACACAGAAAGGGACGCAGCGATGAGGAAAGCCAGGAGTCAGGATACCAGAATATAGAGAAGTCAATAAACAAAGCCAAAGTCAAAAACCAGGTAGAAAACTAATAACAGGAACACGCTCTCGGACAACCACAAGGGAAACCACGACAGGGCACTGAGCAGGATGAGAACTGGGCCTAAATAGTTCTGATAGGCTGTAACCGGCCTTTGACCCCAAAGTCAGTTACCAGGTTTGCATAATTGCTATAATAAATTTTTGCACAAGTCTATATTTTAAGAAAGTATTTACTAGAGACATACAATGTGGCGACAGATAAAAACAATTTGGCCTATCTTGTCTGCCCAATTTTCTAAATACTTTCATTAGTCCCTGGCCTTATCTTACATCTAGGATAGCCTTATGGTTATCGCATGCATACTTAAACTCCCTCACTGTGCTAACTACCATATCAGTAAAGTAATACTTCCTGATATTATTTTTAAACCTCTTTGTCCCTCTAATTTAAGACTAAGTCATCTTGTTGTGGTAGTTATTCTTCTTTTAAATATAATCTTCTCTTTTACTGTGTTCCTCCAAGCTATTTATGTTAGGATTCTTTTACCTTTCCCTGCAAGTTTTACCCTTGAATCCAACCAGTTTAGTAATCCTTCTCTGAACTCTCTCTAAAGTATCAATATTCTTCTGAAGATACGGTCTTCAGTACAGTGTACAATACTCCAAGTGAGGTCTCACCAGTGTTCTGTACAATGACATGAGCACTTCCCTCTTTCTACAGTTAATACCTTTCCGTTGCTGGGGAATATTATAATTTACGGTCAAGAGCACAGAGCTAGGACAATGGGCACAGACAGAAAAGACACAGATAAAGGTATTTAGGTTTGTTGAAATAGTGGTTAGAAAAGGAACAGGCCCTGGGGAGATAGCGCAGCTAAGCGGACAAGGGCACATGTAGGAGTGTGGGGATAGATGCAGGGGAGTGACTTGGGAAGTGTGTGTGGGAGGGGTTAGGTTTAATGTAAGTTAGTGTGGGGGAGGTCTTACCTCAGTGCCACTTGGGATACGGGCCAGCAAACAGCTTCCCGCCCGCCCACCCCTTTGTAGTTTCAGTTAGTCACAGCAAGGCGGGGGTATGTCCTTGCCAATTAAGTTTGAGGGGTTATGTCTAAGGATGGAGTAAGTTTTTATGTTTTGCAGGTCTCAACCTCCCCTGCTTCAAAAGGTTAAACATTAGGTTGCCTAAGGTATCGTGCCCATCGAGCGTGGATAAGGTCGGCTGATGGCAGGCATTGGAAGGATTTTTTATGACGAGGGGGGAGGTGAGAAGAAGTGGTGATTAGGAACCACTGGATGTTTATTGGCAAGGACGGTTGGGTCTCTGCATAGCACGTTTTAGTTATTATATGTATATATGTTAATTTATGATTATTTATTTCTAACAGAAAGAAGAGTTTAATAAATAAAGTTATGGATGTGTTATGCAGTAATTTATTTATGTTATAATAAATGCTGTGGCCTGTTCATCCATACTAAGTTGTCTATCGTTATTGGGGTTTTTTTTTATTGGGGTTATCTATGTTTATGTAGCATCGTAATTCCCCGCTACGTACATATAAGAGTGGAGAATACAAATATAGTAAAAGTTTCTATATGATATGGGTATCGAAGAGGTAAAGAAGTGGATATATCACCTTTATAATGTTTATATTCTGAAGAACCCATCTGAAAAAGCAGGGTTAACACAGGGAGAAGGAAGTCTAGACATTTATATTAACATTAAATATTTACTGTAGTTAATATTGACCTATATAGCAATGCATCTTGTTTAACTGTAGTATACATTTTGCTTGGCAAATATTGGACAATCTGAAAATAAAGTGTCTTTGTTGCTTGGAATAATTCACATTGTCTATGTTCCATAATATAGCTCTGTCAGTGCCAACTTCATTTATTTCTATTACAAATCTTGGATTATTATCACACAGCTTCTATTTTATGTTGATTGAATAGCGTTAGAAAGTACTGTGAAGATCTGTTGCTAGGCAACAAGACATTTAAGACCGACCCAGTTTTACACTGCAGTATCTAAGCAGACTGAGAACCATGCATAACATATATATGGCAGGACTAGTGATGTCCCGAACGGTTCGCCGAACATCATTGAGTAAACTTTTACCCTGTACCTCACAGTCAGCAGACACATGGGAGGGTCTGGGAGGGAGGGTCTGCTGCTGATTGGCTGGAATGTGTCTGCTGACTGTGAGGTACAGGGTCAAAGTTTACTCAATGATGAGTCCGTGGCGAACCGTTCGGCGAACCGTTCGGGATATCACTAGGCAGGACTCTTTATCATTTAGTGGGGCTAATTATTTTAGAATTTTATTTTATTTATGTCATCTTAGAAGTTAATTTGTAGCATCTTCTTCAACATTTTCTTTATAAACAATAATATTTTCAGTTACAGCTACTTTTCACTTTTGATGCCTCACAAATATGTGTTACATTTCCCAGTGATATCTATATTGTTATAGACTAACAAAAGCTAATCTAACACTGCAGATGTTTGAAAACTATGTTTCTCAAGATGCTCAAATTTTTTTGTCAACTATGCTAATTTATAAATATCAATGCTTATGGTCAGTGATGTCAAGAAACAGTTTGACTCAAAAGTCCAAGGATGCAAGAGCAGCTCTTGTATACACCATTCACACATCGAAAGTATGTAATTCTTGTTAAAGGAACACCAGAGGGTCAGGAACACAAACATGTATTACTGACCCTATAGTGTTAAAACACTATCTAGCTCCCGGGGCCCCCTAAATATAGTAAAGTATTGCCTTTATTCCAGTCTGCCTCCTTGGTTGACATCATCAGAAGTGATGATTTGAGTCAATCACAATGCTTTCCCATAAGAAAGTATAGGATTGGCTGAGACCACCAAGGAGGCAGATCAGGCAGAGCCGTGATGATTTGAGCCAATCACAATGCTTTCCCATAGGAACTTATTGGAATGGGGTACATTAACGTTGTGGCAGGCTTATGCAATATATGATGATATAATGTGTTGGATATGTGGTAATCACAATATATGAATCTCCCAGAAACTCACTAAAACATCTTAGTGAGACAGAGATTGTAACATTTGAAAACCACACTGTGATAAAAAGGAGATCTTAAGTGATAAAACAACAATATATACTTGCACTCTCTTTTAACCTCTTAAGGGCACATGATATGTGTGACATGTCATGATTCCCTTTTATTCCAGAAGTTTGGTCCTTAAGAGGTTAAAAGCAGGTCTCCATAATCTACAATACAAAAAATAGACACAGACCTAGTGGAATATAGTAAAAAAAAATGATATACTGTATAACTCTGTAAGAAATAAACTCACAATTGTGGAGTGGTTATAGTACCACTCCGGACTATCAGGCACATGGAGGATCAGACTCTTGAGAACGTAGGATCCAAGTGTGGGCACTTCAAGCGAATTCACTGTGGCGGAACCAGCCTCGCCACTGGGCATTGGAGAAGACTGGTTGCCAGCCTCCTGCCATGTGACCATGGCCCCTGGGATGTATTGCTTGCTCTCCTGTACTGCTGAGGATTGCTACCAACTAGGAGGATTTGGCTATGGAGCTTGTGTAGTGCCCTCTGTTGGTAGCAACAGTAATATGCACTACCTGAATAGCAAGACTGGTAATTTGCATATTTGGGTAGATTTGCATATCGTTAATTCTGCATGCAGTAGAGACATTTTGTGTTAATTATGGTCTTCCCCACCCATTTATAAATATGTAATTATGTTATAAGTCACTGTATGTTGCCTGCTATGATTTGACTGTTTGTAATTTTATTGAGTTTTCACAGCAATGTTAATGTAATGACCATATGGGCTAGTCCCAAGTAAAATGTAATTTTATTGAAGTTGGAGTCCTGTCTCTTATTGGGTGAATCTGCTACCAGGGATTGCTATGCTCTCCATATTCCCTTGCTGTAATCACTCTTGCTTCGCTCTGAAGGAAGAGAGATTTGGCCTGCGGTGGTTGTGGTGTCGGCTAGAGTGCTTGGAATCCTCAAGAAGCGCTAGGAGCATCCATCAACGAAGCTACCCAGTTGGGGTGCCAGGTGATCCATTCATACATTGGTGGCAAGCGGTGGGATGGCGTCCTAGTGCGAGGTAAAGCAGTTCAGAGACACCGTTCGTGGATTTACAAATTGAGGGCGACGCTAGTGTTCATACAGCGTCCCTGTCTACAGAAAGATTTGGGAAAATGGGGTTCGTGGACCCCTGGGCAGCACACACACCTGAGGAAGAGAGTGAATTAGAATGGAGAGATATTGCCCGGAAAGAATTATGGTATGATGCCCTGGAGGAAGTCCAGTATCAACGGCAGCAGTGCCTTCCTGGTGTCGCATACCAGTTGGAGGAACAAATGGCCTGGCAGATGCCGCTTCTGGAAGACCAACCCAGAGGGGAGCGGGTAAGACAACTCGAGTACCTCGTGGAAAGGGAACTGAGCCTGGACGCCTCATACCGGGCACTGTGGTGGTGCACTGTCCAGCCAGAGACGTGGAGGGCAGAGGGCATCCAGCCGGAGGGGGAGAACTACACTAGCCCTGGCCTGTTGTGGAAGGCCTTAGCGGAAGACGTTGACTTCGGCAGTCCAGCAGAGTCACGGTACTAGGCTATCTTGCGTTACCGGGATGAGATGTTACAGGGCCCGAGATCTATTGGACTGGGAGAAGACCTCCGCCGTTTTGCTGCCATGGAACGTGAGCTGGAGATGGACTATGTGGAACTACTAAACTCGTGTCAGCTGAAGAGCGTGGATTCAGAACGGGAAAACTGGGTGGCGGAACCAGACCTGTCAGCCTACAGCTGGGAAAATGCGGCCGAGGTACACCCTGCTTCACTACCAGCTGCAGAAGTAGGCGACCTCATAGGAGAGACCCACAGATGGCAGGTGGAGATGAGACCGAGATCTCTCTACCGGCCCTAAAGGGATGCTGGGCAGTCGGCCCAGATCCCTAGCGGCAGAGTACATTACAGGGAGGAGAGACCACCAGCTCCCCAGTGGCAGAGCGCATTATTGGAAGGGGAGACAGTCGGTCCCCCTCTCAGAGAGAGTGTCAGGGAGAGGACCCTGTTACCCCCTCTCCCCAGCGGCTGAAAGTGTGTAAGGGGGAGAAACTTGTTACCCCCTGTAGCGGAGTAGTAGTATTATCCACGGTATCTCCGCTGGTAGACAGAATCAAGCAGGCACAAAGCAGGTAAAATCCAGGTAGCGTAGTTTGGAGGTCAACTGAGGTTTATTTTCAGGTCATGGTATTTATGGGATTCCCCATGCAAGGGGTTTCCCTACTGACATTTCAGGGGTTGTACAGCAGGGGAGTACATGGGGAACTGACCAACACACACAATTTTCCCATCATACACTGCTGGACAAGAGGGATACTCCCACTGGAATATACCGTTAATGGGATTATCCCTCCGTGCAGCAGAACTCACTTTTTACATTAAAATACATAACTGTAACAATATTCACTAGTTTTACACGAACGGACGTTCGGTAGATAGCTGGAGGCTGAGCGCATCGTTCGTGAGAATACCGCTCAGCTCCCAGTCTAACTAACCGAACGCCGTACGAAATACACATAATTTCCAACATAGGTTTAAAACTACCGATTATCGTAAGGGGAATAAACTACCGAACGGCCGAGGATCCCGAACAGCCTGGAAGTCCAGCGTTGTTCGCGCCCTGGAGTAGCCATTTTTAGTTCCAGGCGCTCGACGACAAAACACAGCTGGGCTAACAAAAGAAACAAGATGGCCGACCGCCGCATGGTCGGTATTCGAACGACGGCCACCTAGAAACACTCTTAATTACCGATTGCAACATTGTTGCAATCGGTTAATGGGTGCCACACGACCCCCTGTGTGTGGTCGTGCGTTCGGTAGGTTATTCGTTTCACGAACAGTGTTTAACTCACTGTTCGTGAAACTTCATTAAAAAAGGCTGGGGTTTTCATACCGCCAGCATACGAATGCCCTCATTCGCCTGGAATACAAATAGCATTGGTTTCTATGGCTTAGCAACAATACACACATCTTTATACATAGATAGTCTCTGGTGGCTAGTTTTGCCACAATGCTCCCCCAGAACCAAGCCGGCATACATAGTCTGATCCCAATGGATCGGCTTGGGGATGTCCGGAGGATACTCACAGATCACTTCTCAAGTTCAGTTTGTCTGGATAACCCGTCGGCATTGCCATTTAGCTTTCCCGGCCGGTAATGGATCGTAAAGTCAAAAGGCTGCAGCGTCAAACTCCAGCGCAACAGCCTGGCATTGTCCCTTGACACCCGGTTCAGCCAGACCAAC